CTTTTTTTTTTTTTTTTTTTTTTTTTTTTTTACACGGGCACAGTGCAGTTGCACAAGAGGTTTGCAGACCTAATGAAGCTGCTGCAGTACTGATGAAGAGAGGCCCAGATCACCCAACCCAACTCCCCACCTTTTTTAATTACACTGCAAAGGTTACCAGCAGGTCCAGCACCCCCACAAACCATCTCTCAAAGATGAAAGTCACTAGTTAATCCTCACAACCGCAGGGCCTCCTCCAATAGCTGATCCATTCATTCCTCTTCAGGGGTCCCCAGTCTCAGAGACACCTTCACCCAAATGCATACCTCTTGGTCCTGCTTGTACTGGGGACCCTCGCAGGCAGCAAATGGCACCTGCTGGGCTCCCGATCCTCTCTGGCTTCTTGTTTACTATGTACAGCGTGACCTCACCAGGAACGGCTTAGAGCCAGAGCAAGGCTCTGGGCACTGTGCCGCACTAAAGCAGGATGGGGCTTACAGAGAGGCACAAACAGAGAAGTTTGCTAAGGAGTAGGAGAAAAGCAGAGGCTCATCAGGTAGAAACAACACTGACTGCTTCACTGCTGAAATCTCCAGGGAGAAGCGCTATGAAACACAGGAGCAAAAGGAGAGGTGACAAAGGACAAGGTGCAAAGAGAATTCCCTTTGGGACACTGCTCCCAAAGGCTCTGCCGGCTGAAACGAGCCCTCTCACTGCATCCAGGGCAACATGAACCTTGGGCTTCATCCCTAAAGCTGTTTGCAGAGTAATTATAACGATCTCATTACTCTCACGCAGAGGATGGAGCTGTAGTGACAGCAAGAACTCGCTGCCCAGCCAGGCTGCGTGGAATTGGCTTTCACAGCATATAAAAGACAGGGAAGTCATTGCCAGACTCTGTGTAACAGCATCTATGTGCTGCACGTAACAACAATTCGAGCTTGCAAGGTCAAATGGCCAGCCAGTGTTACCCAGTTCCTAGGGGGCTTAGAGCCAAAGGACAAAATTGCTTTCGAGATGCATGTACCAGGAAAGGGAGCTCAGACTGGAAACCGGCACGGTGTTGTCTAGCGGTCATGCAAACAGCAATACTTTAGTTTTTCCATTGCTTTTTCCTCACCAGCCTTGGAAGACAGAGGTAGAATAGGCATAAGCCTTAACCATGTACTCGAATCTACCCTTCACATCCAAGAAGAATGAAAGAACCACGTGATTGAGCAAACTCCCCCTCCGCCCCCCCGACACGCATGCCTCATCGGGAAGAGGGTCCAATCCATGCAAAAAACACGGACCGTCTGGTCTCGAGCCAGGCACTGAGCTGTCCTATCATGTTCCAGCTGCCCACTGCACTTGCGTGCAGTTTTTCCAGACTAAGCACTTCAGGGCTGGCACCTTGCCTTCATTGCCGCTATGAAGACATCTTGCTCATTGTTCGGGCCAAACAAAACAAACAGAGCTGGCTGAAATACTCCCAACTAGGGTTTTTCCTACTAAAAAGAGATTTCAGCAATTAAAAGTTTTGCGACAATTGATGATTCTCAGCTTCTCCCTTACTAGAAGGGCCCTGGGGTTACCCCAAATCCCAGCTTTTCAGGAAATAAGAGTCAGAAAAACATTCTAACGATAGCTTCAATAGGATTGCTGATAAAAAGAAAGTTTGTAAAAACAGGCAAACGAGTGGGGAAAGAACAACCCGTTTCACTCCCTGCAATGCAAGTTTTGGCCTACACCCTTTTCTGTTTACTCTGCATTTTTTTTTTCTTTCTAAATCCAGCTGGTGCCAACCAATAGCTGCAACCTCCACAGGCTGCTCTAAAGCTCCCTCATGCATGGTGGTAACTTTATGGAGACCATCACCACCCCCATAGTAGAAACAAAAAACAAGAAAGTAGTCTAGAGCATTTTCTGCAACTCCCTTAGGGTTACACAGCAAGGGAGTAAGTCAAGGGGCAGGATGCAGGACAATGCCCTGCCGAGGGGTGCGGTGCAGGCTTGAAATGAAGGATCCCACTGAAGTGACCTTGGGGTGATTATCTTACTCTCACTGAAGTCACCCTCCCCTTTTAGATAAGGGCAAATCAGTCCTTGGAGGATGTATCCTTGGTGCCCCGCAGAGCTATTTTTACAGAGCAAGTATTTTGTCCTTTCAGATGTAACATGGTGTCCGACTCATGGTACATCTCCATCCCCCTTCTCATTTACACTAGCTCAAATCATTTACAACCCTCTCCTCCCCACACCCATGCACTCGCTCTCCAGTCTAACCATGCCGCTTGGTAGGTGCCTCAAGAACAAAACCAACACTGTCAAGCAAATGGCATGTCCTATTAGCATCACTTCCTTTCTTGGTTGATTTGATGAGAAAGAAGGGCTCTGTTTGAGAAGGGAGACAAATGCAAACAATACTCGTGTCATCCCTGCGCAGACACGCAGGCTCCCAGGGGTGTGGTGCCTAGCCCCGGACCGCTGGGAGACATCTCTGCAAGTTCCTTGTTACAATACCTGTAATATAGCACGGTGGCTATTACAGCACGTTGTCTCAGGCATGCTTACATGTGGTCAAACATTCAGATGGAAGCAACAGTCAGAAGTGTTTAGTTTTCTAGTTGGGTAAACACCCCCCCACGCCCACGATTAGCCCGAGGGCTGGTCTGTACATTCTGCTAAGGACAGCTGTGCCCTGAACTACAGCGCTGCTAACTTTATTGTTTCCTAAATAAACTTGCTCACAGCACAGCCCACATACAACACTGAGGCACGTGGGCCCCAGGGAAAGGAGGGCACATTTGCACAGCTAAAAAAGAATGGGAGAGAGAGAGAAACAGCATAAGCTTTTTTGAACCCAAGTTCACTTCATCAGGTCCACTGAATTCAGGAGGTAGACCCCAGGCACCTGCCACATTTTAACAGTCCTTCGAGCCCAGAGCAAGCAGAAAGTCCAAAGCACTCCCTTTAGAAAAAAGAGAAATGGAGTCAGCTGGTTTTTGGAATTATCTGAGCAGAAAGGTATTTGTGCCGGCTCACTTGCTTCTTACACAGCTGTACCACATCTGTCCATTCCCCTCCCTGCTATGAAGTCAGATGGTTTTCCCCCAGCATGCTGCAAAGCTCTTCAAATCAGGGGCTCAAGCTGAAAGCACATCCTCGGCTAATGCAACGTCCCCTCTGCTGGGCATTAGCTCATCAGACCTGACTTCTGTCCAGGAATGCGAGTTAGGGAGATGGAAGGCTTTTAAGGGTGCATGACTGTCACCCCCATTCCCTTTGCTTAGAAAGCCTGAGCAAGAAAGAGGGAGACTTTTTAATAAAGTTTATTTATTAAGCCAGCTGCTCTAGAAGTATTAATTAGAAGGCAAGGTAAGAAAAAGCATCACATGACTTCCGTTTCCACCCAATGCATTCAGTGTCAGCTTGTGGCAGATCTTTTTCAGATCATATCCGATTGCCTTGCAATGCCTCTCTCACTCGCCAAAGCCAAGATGCAATAATGAAGCATCTATTTGCTCTTGCTTTGAAAGGAAAATAATTAATTTTAAAAGGAGGGAGAGAAACCACCTTAAAGAAGGGAGAGAGAGATGGATGCAGGAACGCTTCACAAGCTGCATCAGGCCACACAGCAAAGAGAGACTGCATGTACATGGGTATGTCGTAACAGCTGATGAATAATGCAGAAATGTTTCCGTATCAGTGGCCATGCTGCAGCTGGGCTCCAAGGAAAGCCTGTTATGTCAGAGTTTATCTGGTGCATCACCTGTCTCTGCCTTCTCCTTTGCAGTTTCACGTTTTAAATGGATGTTGCTAAGCTTTCCTCTTCCTTCCCTCCCTTGTATGCTTTTACAACGTGGCAGGTCCATTTGGGTCTGCTCTTTTGACTTCAAGGGGCTTTGGGGATCCTCTCCCCACCCCCCAACTTTAGTGCTTGAACAGCCACATAGCAGCTCCACTGTTGTCCCTTCATAAAGCTGCACCCAGAAAAAGGGTGGAGCGACTGGCCATGCAGACGAACCCCCACACTAACTTCCCCATCAACCAGGATGTACATCTATGTAGAAAAAGAAATAGCACCTTTTGGTTGGGCCAATTGCCAAGTGCAGCGTCCAAGCTACCCAACACCATGTACAAAAGTACAATTCTTAGTGAGACTCAGTCCTTCAGTATGTAATCACACAGGCAGGATATATACTATAACTCATCACACCCCCTGCCTGCCCAGTCTACTATCTTATGGTCCACGGCACCTGTAGCAGGCTCACGGCCACAGGGGCAGCCGCGATACCCCGGGTGGCCTTGCGGCTTCTGCCCAGCTCGGACTCGAATGCCATCCGCCCTAGATTGCTCACCCGCCATGCCTTGGTCTTCTTATTAAAGGCTGATTAAGGGAGGATGCCCACAAGTCTTAGAGTGAGCCTTAACCCCAACACTTCCCCACTAGGTCTCTCCTGGACCCCACTAGTCTCAATCCAGCCCTCCAGCCTGGTAGGTCCCTCTTGGCCCGACTACGCCCCTATAGAGCACCTATAGGGTTAAGGGCAAATTGTGTGGCTCCGTTCCGCTCTTACAGCATGCCCCAAGCCTCATGGATGTTGCCCTCAAGATATTACCTTCACACACTTGGCCACCCTTGGGCCCTCAGACCCCCTGGCCCTTCACTCAGCCTTTCCTCTAAGCTTTCACCCCCCCGTCCCACATTCAGCCCCATCTAGGCTCCCAGATGCCCAGTCTGACTCACAGCCCCTCTCAGACTTGCGGATCCTCATCTGGCTCATCCCATGGACCGCCTGGTCCGTCCATCGGTCAATCCCTGGCCCCCGAACCTCCTAGTCCCACACACACATGCTCTCCCTACCTTCAGACCTTCTTGGGTCTCATGCGCTCAGCCCTGCTTGTGCCCCTAGTCCCCCAGATCATACTCCCAGCCCTTTCTGGGCCTGGGGCTCTTGGATCCCTACTCTCTTGGCCCTTGTACCCCTTGCTAGGCTCATTCTGCTGAGCTGCTAGCTCTCTAAGTAAGCCTTACCCACCCTTGCAGGGCAATTGCTAAACTACTAGTGCCCATATAGCCAAGCTCTTCTCAGATACCTTCTCCTGTTCCCAGTGTTGCAGAGTAGCTTTCTTCCAGTACTCAGGAGGTCCTTGCTTTGTGGCTCCCAGGGCTGGACTACCTGGCAGGTGCAGGCTCAGGGCTTATATAGCTTCAACTGCGCCCATTGCCTGTCAGGTGAGTGCTTAATAACCTCCCCCTGCTCCTTTGCCACCTGCAAGTGGACTCTCAAGCTGCTCATTCCCTTCAAGAAGCAGGCACTTCTCAGTGCCCTACTACAACACCTTGCTTCAGTAAAGGCAATCATGG